CAATCAGGGCTTTATCTTCCTGGAAGACGCTCTTGAAATATTCGGCTAACATATTGGCTTTATCGAATGGAGAAATTGCAAAAACTTCTCTCGGACAATCAACTGGTATGAAGTCGAAGATCTTCCTTCTCAAATACCTACAAGAGACAGAAAATTACTTGACCTTCTCTTTAAAGGCAAGATTCAGGATTAAATTATGAGGTAATTCCACTCAAATGTGAAAGTAGGGGTAGGAAGTGGACCGCCAGTGGAGAAAAAAGAAAAAATCGTGAAATACACAGGAAATACGAGCCTTTTGCTCTACGCTGCGGAGAAGTTCAAAAGGCCGGCAGGGAGATGAGAGATAATGTGAGCGCGGAGAGCGCTAGAGAAGTCGAGTAGAGAGAGCATAGCAGATCAAGTTAGCGACGCAGACAAGATATCGAGCGGTGGGGAGCGTGTCGCAAGCGTGTCAAAGTTCTTAGCGCCTAGCGTCTAAATAACGCTTTTCGAAGTAGGGAAGTGACGCGACCTCTACACTTGCGTACCTAGCGCTTCTAGCCACCGTAAAGGCTCATTAAGTGGGTCTGAGCCCGAACATTGCCTTTACCGTATCATTTAATCTCTGAGGTGTAGGTAAAGCATCTTTGTAAAGATTTTAGCAGCCAGCACTCGGCCTCCTCACAGACACAGAGCAAAATCAGTGCAGAGATATCATTCCGGTTTGATGTCGTGATTGTGATAGCCTCTGATTTGTTAACACTCACTGCAGTGGCAATTGGAGGGCAGCGAAAGTATTGGGCTGTAGCATAATATCGTAGCGATTTTCCTTCGAGCTACAAGTTCACTAGATACAAGTATCACACATTATCATTTGAATATCTATAATATATCATTTGAAAGGCTTCTTCCGCTCTACAATACCTTGTTTGTCATTTTCTTCTATATTGTAAGTGTACTCAGATATGGTGCTTAGAAGTTGGAAAATCAAGGTGGGCGAAAATCTATATAAGAAAAAAGCTGCCAAAATAGGAGTTTTTCGGAATCCATCGTCATCATCGAACCTTACTCCAGTCGACCCTCAATTTCAAATCATATCCACGTAAAAACGACGTACAAATTGAGAATAATGAGAGCTCTGACAAACGGTAAATAATGAACGAGAAGAACATCACTGATCAGTTTTATGCTTGGCTTTGCTTTTGGGTTTTGCTTTGAACGTTTTTGCCGAATGCGAGCGCTACGATATTATGCTCCAACCCAATACCTCACGGTTGGGGGAAGGTAAAGCGTACCAATCGACAAGCAAGTTAGTGTTGGGGTTCCATCGATATCGACGTTGTCAACATGTCTGTTGGTATGTCGTTCGGTGTTAATCAACGCAAGTGAGCACAAGCTTAGGGTGTGTCACGTGCGCAGAAACAGTTCGGTGACTGCTTTGGGACTACATTGGTATCATTGAATATGGTCACTTCGACGTATCCTTAGAAAGTTGAGCATGCACTGAATTGTGTTGATATCCTGATGGAGTTTTGTCTTTCTGTTCTGGTGTGGAAGTAAGAGCACTTCATTTTCAATGTAACGACGTTTTCAGGTGGTCTTGCTGTAATTCCTCTAATGTTGTATACAGGTCGGCGAATTTTGTGCGTGTCAACTCTGCTGTTGCAAGGATTGTTCGTGATAATTGCACCGTTCCTTAAGCGTGCGTTGCTTTAGTCGTAATCCTCAATTTTCTTGAAGTGAAATTGCTGTTTCACTTGTCATCAGAAGGTGACGGTTCTCTAGTAATCCGGGATTTCATGAATCTGGATGATCAGTTGGCTTTTCAGAGGGTATTTTTCATTTTTTTGAGGGAACGATGGTATTACAAAAAGCTGAACAAAATCACGCCAGTGACCTTCAAAAGACATTTCCTTCGTATCTTCGTAAACCGAATTGCGAGAAATTACGACTGAATGGACCATCTGATAAGTCATGTACTTTTCCAAAGCTAAAACGAGCACTTTCAAGATTCACAAAAGGAGCATGCAGTAGGGCTTCCATTTGCTACCAAAGGAAGTACGGCACGGCTTCTAAGGCTCATGTTAGGTGATTTCCATGCACGGAAACGCCCCATTTGTGACTGTCCTTAGGGCTCTATACTACAGACCGAAGGGAACCGTTCATACATTTGCCTGGTTTCGGTCTTCATCATTATCTCGTAAGTTTTGTGATTGGACGGTGGATTGTGGTCATTTATAACAGACAGAATCGACCATCCCATAATAATTATAATTCGCAAAACATTTAGTTTATTATTGTATTTTTGACTGAATCTTAGAGACTGTGATTAGGATGGGTTTCGAACTATTTTGGAGGGACGTAGGGGTGCATAATGGAGCACCAGTAGCGAAAAAACGAAGAAGTCTATCAAGAAATCGTAAAACAGGCTCACCTTATTTTGCCTACGATTTTCGCTCATGGACGTAGACCGACTAAGACAACTACATATGGATGAGCTTACCGCAGGGTATTCGGTTGCACTATGTC